TGTGTTTTGTAGAGAGACTAATTTATAAATGCAATGGAAAAATAGGATAGTAAAATAAAAATAAGGTAGGATATGTGAAATATTTCCTTCAGAAACTCTTGAAAATGTTTAAAAACTTTGAAATAGCCAATATTACTGGGACCATGTCAATATAAACACTCGGTAGGTGGTGTAGACAAAAATATCGCGAGATTTGTGAATATACCGGTACCGTGGAGTCACCGGTATCATGGGGTTCGAGTATACTTATAATACTATTTTTGTTGTATAAAATTTACCAGTTGTAAGGTCATCAAAAGCATGTTAATGTTAATGTTAGTATTTCATATTTATTTAATAGAAACTGGGAATTAATAATGTTATGTGCATACATGTATATCTTAGTATATTGATATGATGAGACTTATACATGTAATATTTCTGAATTTAAAGAGTTACAGTTATGTCATTATGATTAAAGGGATGAGACTTTCATTCAAAGTTATAAATGATAATACACGTACTGATTGAAAATGTCCTTAAACTTGGATCAAGCAATATAATTTTATAAAGTCTCAAAAAATCATATTCTGAATAGTTCTTCTAATTTTTTTTTCTAACATGTGTATAGTTTGAAAAGGACAGCTTCTGTCTTATCTATTTGTAATGGAGGGACACCGGTCTCAACCTCCAGGTCTCCAGAGTCAACCCGACAACAGACTTTTCATAGAGTAGATTGTTACTTGCCCTTGAATAAATTTGTGCACTAAATTTTATAGTGGGTGATTTGTGCCACATGAAAACCAACAAAGTACAAAAAGTAACCGGGCGCCAGATGAAAACATGAAAATACAATCTACCACAAAGTGGTTCGTTTGTTGCATTTTCATGTTTTCGCCCGGTGCCTTTGATGCAAAATACAAATCAGCCTTCATAAAATTTCTTATCATAGAACTGTTCACTATTTAGGGGAGAAAATGTGTAAGCGGCCAGATAGCTTAATCGCTACAGCTGCGGTACATTATTCTGTGGGTCAACGGTTCGAGTTCTGGTCAAGCTCAAAGTATTTCTCATCCTGTGACTGCATATAAGCATGAGTTCAATTCACTATGCTCTGTAAACATAAGAAATTCAAGGACACAAATCAATATAGTGGGGAAATATGTTGTGGTTTAGAACTGTTTCATTATTAAAGAGAAAATGTGTAGCCGGCCGGATAGCTCAGTTGGTCTTCTGAAAGTCATGGGTTCGAGTCATGGTCAGGCAGTTTCAGTCAGGGTTAAGAAGTGGTTTTTCAACTGACAAATGTTTGATTCATGTAACAGATTGCATTAAATTTGAAATGGACAAAGGCAGTATTGCATGATACTTTTAGATCTTCAAAGGGCATTTCATACAGTTGATCACACTATACTGCACATGAAGAAGTTCTTTTTCTTCTTCTTCATGAAACTTCAAGCATCCGCCATATGTAATGACATTCTTACATGGTTTAAGTCTTATCTCTGATAGACAGCAGCTGGTGGATGTGGCTGGTCCTCATTCTACTACTGCTCTGAGTACCTATAGTGTCCCACTGATGTTCATTTTAGGTCCTCTTTTATGTCTTATATATGTCAATGACATGTCTGCGACCCTAAGCAATAAGCTTTTATTATATGCACAGGCACGAGTATCAGACCTGGGAAGAAAAAATATGACCAGATTGATAAAAAAACCAGTGTTCATCTTAAAAGTGTCAAAAACCAAAATAAAATGTAAATAATGACCCCCTTTAAAAATATACTTTAAGTTAATAGTATATTTTTAAAGGAAACTGGGCCTAGCCTCCAGGTCATATGTAATGGTACTGTTATAAAGTACACATCTTTTGTTAAGTATTTAGGTGCAAACCTGGATCAAATTCTTTTGGCGTCGCCCTTTGATGCTTTGCATCAATGCTTTTCTTGTTTGACGCTGATGTATGTTACGTAGTTGTGGGAGGAGTCATCGTCTGCCTAACTGATTGTATGTATGTATGTAGTTAAAGCTTAATGAGGGTCCATCCGCCCTTTTGGGCACAAAATGCAGCTTGCGCTGTCGAGTACGGACCCCGGACATGTCACCAGTCATGTCCTTAAAGAGTTAATTTTGAAGCACAAAATGGTGATAATTTACCTCCATGCAATTTCCACGGAGTATTAGCCAAAGATATGAATTTTGAGCCGAAAAGTAGGTCACTGTACGGCGGTCAATGAGAACCTAAATGTACAGTAACCTGTGACAATAGGAAAGGTGTTTAGCCCTGAAAAGGGCTGTTGGTGCCAGCTATAGGCCTGCCTTACAAGCCGTCTATCTGTACTAGGGGCTCACGCACCCTAGTACACCATCCTCGTCGTCTCAGCCTACTTTGTAGGGCCACTCCCCTCGGCATTAGTCAGGACACCGGCAGCTAACATCACGAAACAGCCGCCTTAAACGATTATAACTCGAATCTTCCATCATCTGCCGGTGCCCTGTGCCTTCTCAGCGACGTGCACGCTCCGAGGGGAAGTGAGAAGCCTAACTGATTGCTGATTTGCCGGCGCTTTTCTAGTTGCTGCCGATTCCCTCTGCGCACGCGCACTAGTTGAACGACCTCTACTTTTTGTTGACATCGAATTTGCACGTGATCTTGGCCTACCACGTGGAGTAATATTGTCAATGTTTACAACTGGTGTGGTGGGCTGAACAAATGTTTGAGACTGCGATTTTAATAACGATTGCGATTGCGAGTTATTTGTGTTATTTGTATAACTGCTCTGTGACAACACTGAAGCTGTACTAACCTGTTTGTTTACCCCGGTTGTTTGTTGAATGTTGTTGGTCACGTGTCGGTTATGGTTAAAAGATATTTCGTTGGAATTGTCTAATGGAGGATCTTGCTGTGCCCGTGAAACACCGTCCGGAATACCGTGTGGAGCTGTATATGCCGCCTGATGCCCGGAATAATTACTATTATCCGAGGTAGAAAAAACCTTCGGAGGTTTCTGGCCAATGTCTTTCGATGGATTGAGGAGTAATTCCCAACCCGGAAATGCATCTTCTACAAGACGAAGGTTCACATAAAGCGCTGCTGGATATTTCGACTGAACCTTATTACCTTTACGCGATCTGTACTCCTTGTATGCGGGCCACGATGCCTTTCTGGCGGTTCGTATCTCATATGGATAATCTCTGTCAATGCTATACCTAGTTCCAGCAAGATTTCGTGCATTAGCCATTATCGAATTTACTTCATGAGAGTAACGAAAAGTTACCAATATTGTCCTCTTAGATGACTCCTGCCCCCGGCGATTGTTTTTCACCTGACCTAAACGTTCTGCATTGCCGATATAATAATCGCTCGGATTAAGATTAAGTTGATCATAAATAAAATCGTTGACACATAAACATCCATTTTGTGTTCTTCATATCCGTATATAAGTAAATTCCTGTTTTTATTTCTAGTTTCTAGATCAAGTATTTTATAAGTCAGTGTTTTAATTTGTTTGTCATATTGATTTACAGTATCATTCACATCGGAGACTACATAACTAACCTTATTCATCTGAGTCTGAAGAACGTTCACCTGTGTTCGCACACTATCAAAACTTTCAAACTTTTCAAAAAGAACATTCAGTTTATCATCCGTGCCCATTCCTTTATACGTATCAAACTCAACATTAGACCCCTGTCTTTTTCTCTTTGTTGCATTTTCAAAACTACCGCCTTCCGTCGTGCGCCATTGTGTATTTCCCGCCGACCCAAACATGCATTCGTTTTCCATTTCGCGAGAATCATTCAATAATTGACTCAATGATTGACTTCCTATATCCATTGTTTGATAAGTGATGATATATTATCCAATATATATAATCCAATATTAATAAAACACCCAGAACATATAGTAAATCCTAAAAATGTCACCGTGATCTAAAACTAGTGTTGACCATCCGCCATATTTAATAACATACATAATAAATGACATAAAATGAAATAACAATTATATATTTTCTATGATTTATTTATTCTTCTTGTAACATTACCTTAAAGCAAATAGCTCTACAGTCATATATAATGAAATAACAATTATATATTTTCTATGATTTATTTATTCTTCTTGTAACAAGGTTACCTTAAAGCAACTAGCTCTACAATTATACATGAAAAAGTTCATCGTCAAAAGTTACATCACCGTGAAAAAAAGTTAATTAGAAAAAAACTTGCAGATACACATAATTTTTGAATACATTATTTTAGTAACAAGTTAACTTCAAATGTAAAATAACATGTAAAAAAGCTTATAATAGATAGGTTAAAATATTTAAACTCATTTTTTACAAAAAAGCAATTGGTCATTTAATTTTGAAATAGTTATTTTCCCTTAAACGGGCCTCTACACAAACAATTAGCATGTGGTAAGTCGGGCCACTGGATTTGAAAAATATATCAAAGTATGCTTAAAATTGTTGACAGAGATGTAATATAAATAACTAAAGAAAACTGATATCTTAGATATATATTTTCATCTAATCAGAGCAAGTCAGTAGGTGTTCTATTGTAAAGTTATTTTTTTTATATCTCATTTAATGTGCAATATCTCCTTTCTAAAGAGTATTCATTTTCAGTGAGGATTATTACAGTGTTTCGATATGGCATGGGTTCAATCCCAGAAGATGTTTTTTTTTCAATTTTTGTTCTTTTTTCTTCTTTTTGTTTTGTCATATTATTATTCTCTTTCTTAATGTATATCTAAAATCTGTAATTAGAAAAAAAATGAAGTTTTATGTATAATTATACTTTGAAATGTATGAACTTTAATAGCAAAACAAATTAAAATGATTATAATTTAAAATCGGCATGATAAACTTTCTTTATATTTTGCACAAATGTTAAGAATAGTTTCTAAATAATCACTTTATCACTTTTCAAGTAAGGAAAATGAAACTATTAAAACATGTTATTCTTGTCTTTGAAAACAAGGGAAAATCTTAAGGATAAAAAATAATACCAACATAATATATAACTAAAGTTGAGCTTTTATTTTTAAGCATTTTTAAAATTTTAAAGTTATTTTAACAGTGAAGTGGAAGAAATGGATATCTTATTGTTAAAACAAAGATAAGATATATTTTTCCATTTCCTTTCATTGCCGTTATTCAAGTATCTGAAATTATCCGATATCCCATAAAATATCACAATTAAAGAAAATGCAGTCTAATAGCATCATTTGAATGAATTTTCTGCCTAAATAAATAATTATATAATTACTCCAGTAAAAATGAAAGTAAGTGATGACTTAAGAAGAGATTAATGAACCATATACATGTACATAGGACAAATGTTTTTAAACACCAAGTATATTACATTTTATGACCAAATCGCCATTCCGAAATGAGCTTTGCACCATCTAGAAAATTCAAATGGTCTGACGGACCAGTTGCTTGAAATATTAGGTGGTCCTTGCCAAAGTCAGGTGGTCTCGGACCAACGGACCATCGCTAATGTCGAGGCCTGCAGTTTAAGCATATTTTAAATTATTGTTATACATATACACTACAAAAAAGCAAATTATTTTTTGAAAAGAAGAAAAATAAAATAATAAAAAATTCATATACATTGATGTATAATCCAGTAAATGACAAGATCGAGACGTTTGTGAAACATTTATGCACTTCACAACGGATTGTCTAAAGATGCAAAGTCTTTTGACATATTGACCTCCAATCAAATGTGTTATCTGTTACAACCCTACGACCAATATAAGTATTTTCATAAAGAAGCTTGATCGGAACAGCTTTTTTTTAGTTAAGTCCATAACGTGGGTCAACTGCTAGTCATAATCAACCTCTACCTCATATTATTGGTTAAGGCTACAATATTACTTACCATATAGTAAAACATAAATGTAATTTGAAATAGACATTATAGTGAAAATGTACCAACAGTTCCTACGTTACTACAATTATATATCAACATGAAGTTCATAATACAATGCTATTGTCTGAAATCATATAACACTGCTTTTTTGTAGTTTGCATTTCATTGCTTATGACATACACAGCCATGTTTATTGACATAATTATTTTTTCATTAAAAAATATGTAAAAAATGATTTGGCAATTATTACACAATTACCCATTACAAACTGTCTTAACACTCCATTCATATAGGTTAAAGCAGCGAGATCCAGCGCCTTAAAAGATTAGAATAAATTTCTTAAAAATAAAACTTTATAACATAGCAACATGTATATCATCTAAATATGTATAATTATAAAAATAAAATCATATCACAAGTTTACAATGTATAAAAAGATATGTGGAAAGACAGAACTTCACTAGAGCTGTTTATATGTATGATATAGTTCATTATAAGAATATCACAGACAACGGTCATTTATAACTTAAAAATATCACCGTAATACTGGGGAAATAAAATAGATAAAACAAGTGCGGGTAAAAGACAACTGAAGCGGGTTAACACATAACGTTAAATAAACATTCAATCTTTCCAATCATTCAATCTTTCCAATCTTTTTTTTGCATGGAAATGTTACAATATGAAAACACATATCATATAAGACTTGAAATACTTGTACTCATTTTTAGAGTGATTTACTTATCTACGAACGTAAGGCGTCTTTTCCGTACCACTGTTTTAAGATCGTCAATGTCCAGCTCTTTCATTGAGAAGGTCGCCTTTTTCCATTGATTAACAAAGTCTCTTTCTCCATGTTTATCTTCAATCATAAAGTTTCTAATAACAATTAATGGAAATTCAACACGGCGGTATTCACAAATTCCTCCAAGATCATTTTGGCAGTTTTTGTTTCCACAGAATATGACTCCTCGAGAGATAAAATCATCTTTAAAAGTCACAGGGTTACGACCACGTATAGACAGCAAGCGCCCGTTGGCATCTTCGTTGACAACAATATGGTGAGACCCTTGTATCACCCGGATATCAGACGACATACATATAAATTCGGAACAATTCAGGCATCTAAATATAACTTCGTCATCAGTCATATTTGCTAAACGATTCTCCTCTTTCATATCATCAATCTCCTTTTGCCTAATTTGGATAGTATTTAATTCATTTTCCCAGTCATTGGGGTTGTTTTCAATGTAAGCCTGAAGGGTCGGAACTATACTGTTCATCAGCCTTTCAAGCATAGCGTTCTTTTCTTCTTTTTCAACTATCCACGACCCTTCTGTTGTAATAACATAATATTTACTATTTCCGGCTCTTGCACGCCCTGAAAAAAATGCATTAAAAGAGAAATTATCATATAACAGTTATTATAACTTTCATTTTGCTATTTGAGGTAAAATGTAATATTACTGTTTACATTTTCTTTATATATATGACATTATAATGAAATTACATGAAAATATATATGCATGTTGAGACAGAACAACATTTAAAACTTACCTCTGGACTGGAGTCTAACAATTTCATTCGTGACATATTCGTAACGGATTACGATATTACATTTCCTGATATCTAGGCCTTCTTCAGCCACAGATGTGGCAACAATTACTTTGTGAAGACCATTTTTAAAATACTCAAGCACGTCTCTCTGCGCACATTTCGTCATACCTGTAACACATAATAATGAGTAATAAAGATAGGTCAGTGGGAATTACTCAGTAAGAATAGAATAAAAAAGACTAAAACGGAATCTCTACAGAACGCAAAATTAAAAATGTTGCAGGCCCGGTTTGAAAGTCCTCCATGTTTTAAGCCACGTTTCAAGATAAGTAGACATGTGCGCAGTGCAAGGAATGACACAACGAAACTAACTTAGATCAAATATTGCAGTCTAACGCGGATTTTATTGTTTATTCCAAACCCTTTCCAAAATACAGTCAGTGTAAAAAATAAACTGTTCCAACAAGGCGAGTAAAGTTACATACTTTAATTAAAAATGAATATTTTAAATCTTTTCTTGATATTACTTTACGGAAATGCTATAAATTGAGCATGCAACGTATATAAGGTTCATTTAACAACAGATGCTTCAATGTGAATTCAATAGAAACACAGATATATCACCTCCTTTAGCCGTTGATGCAACCTGTCCAACGAATTCACATGCGTTCAGTGGCTTCAGTTGTTCCTTTTCATCCATCCATTTAATCAATGCCCGTGCCAGTTCACGAGACTTCACAAATATAATTCCCCGAGCGTTGTCATTATCAGCAACTTCGTTCATCAAAAGTTTCTTCATCTCTACAAGCTTGGGATTTTCAGGCTCGTCACTAAAATCTCTTGATTTTAGATCTTTAATACAAGAAAAAAAAAGAACCGACTGTAGGCACCTACTTGTAAAGAACAGTGACAAACATTTGAAAGAATGTAATTTGAAATGGTCATTTAACCTAAACACTTTATACATGTACTGCCAAGTATAAAATAGTATATCATGGTAAAAATTAAGCAGATGTTTTACAAGATTTAGAGATCTATTTATTTATTACATTAAATTTAGAAAGGTATTATATAATAATTTGATTTTCCTTCTTTAGCAAACGTCATTAAAAATTAATGTATTATTTGAAACCTTACCTTTATAAAAGTTTATTAGCACCTTGTCTGTTTCATTCTCTGGATCTATTTCCATTTCTCTGTTGATAAAGTTTTCAAGTATTGCTTGGGCATCTTTAATTCTGGCATCTGCGTGAACAAGCATCGCTTTGTTGTACACCTAAATGTGATAGGTAATTGTATATAATCATATCAAACACTTGCTGTTTCTTAATCTATTAAAAAATTTAAATTGAGTTTTGTTATATTGATTTTAGCAGCGCAGAACGAAATAATGTCATTTATTCATGGCTACAAAATTTAATTTCTTATCAAATTAAACATAAGAAATGGAAAATACTTTAGCCTATAAATAGTATTTATCGCTGATTAATTTGGAAGTACATGTATTTGATAACTTGCTTCGAACAAAGCACAACTGCATGTATTTAATTTGAAAAGTATGAGAAACGGATATATAATACATAAATAGAAAATCATCCTACCTCTAAATGTCTCCTACAAGGATTCAACATTCTTCGTGCTGAATCAGAACTGATCTTTGCAATAGCTCCCCTAAACTGACTGGCCCATTGCAAAAACTGTTCTGTTCCTCTTGATGGCGGTACTTGGCAAACACTCTTCAGTAACTTGTCTTTATCTGGAAGCTCTGACATACCTTGAATTATTTTAACAAACGTTATTTTATAAATTCGTCCTGGATTTATGAAAGAAAACTTACATAGTTTTGAATAATGCAAAGATTAGCTATGTGATCCATCTGTTTTAAAGTCGATTTGTTTTATTGGCACTTTCAGTTTGTCTGTATCTATAGTAAGTACAAATAAGTACAACTACATGTATATTATACAATCGTGTTTTAGTTCAAATAGTTCAGAAGTCTAAATGAATGCGAATTTTTAAGAGAAACTTACTCTGGTGACCTCTCATATATTTGTCAATATTGTCCATTATATCCAGGACAGCTTCTCCAAACTTATCGTAATGTCTGCATTTGGCCTTAATTATTTCTGTAAGAATATAGTATAATTTGATTGGAAAAATCGACAAAAATATATATTGAGTAAATCTGGATTAAATCCATGAATTTATTCCTGCTAAAACACAATATATATAAAATAAATACTTGAATAAAATAAAACATATTTCATAATTATAGTACTTGAAATGAGTGACGTTCATATTCTTCCCTCGACTGCATATTTAATTTGCTGATGTTACCCTTACCTTCTTTTGGATTATTTTCATGTTGATCTAAATCTTCGATATTATTCCTCACTGTAGACAGATACTTGGCATCAAGGTTAGCAAGAATACCTTTCATGTGGTTTATTGCAGAAAATGGGTCAGTGTTACCCCCTACACCTAGGGAAGCTGTTAGGCCAATAATCTTCAATGAAATTGTAATAAAAGTTTTGATATACAATTCCATTAGTAAACAATCAATATGAAGACATTCAAAGATCATTTGGCACCCGATGTGGTATTATCTACGGACTTATTATATTTAGTAAAATTCCCCTTAAAGATACTGTGTCACACACAATACATGAACTACCATACACACCAATTCTTTTTCAGGTTTATAATTATCTGTTTTATAAACACGAGATTTCAAAAATATAATCCCCGGAGCATTGTTGGTATTAGCAGTCATATCGCCTATTTTATCATATCTGTTTTATAAAAAGGGAAATGTATGGGAAACATACACAAAGGTAAAACGTATTTAATTAATCTAATATATAACAACTGAGGCGATTTTGGACAGTTACTAACCCCGATCACAGCTTAACAGGAATTTAAAAACAAAGCACTTTCAAAGCATACATTCTTATTTTTCTATGTATCTAATAGTGCATTTATCTAGTATATATTTATTTTGCAAACAGAAATAACTGTATGTACCTGAGGGAGACAGCTCGGATCAACTTTTTTCTTTATCTTAAGGTCCATGTATTTGCTCATGATTCTATTGAAATGGTGCTGGTTATCAGTATGGTGACACTCATCAAACACTATCATTGAAAACATTTCCAGACTACTGAGCTCCTGATTGTTGAGGGAATTCAACAAAACTTGAGCTGTCACTACCAGTATATCTCTCCTAAAGGCATTTATGAAATACATGTATTCATTCTACACATACAAGATGTTTTTTTTAAATTCAAACAGGTACTAATTATCAATAATCAAATTTTCTTAGATTTGAAAGATTTGAATATTTAAGTTTATCAAATGAATTTAGCTTTTGACTTTTTTTGCGGGGGGGGGGGGACTCGCCAATCCAAAAGAGATCAAGAAATCATATCAAGTGTCTCCTGTGCATTATTTTAGGAACGAACGGACACCTTAGTAGAACCACCAATGTTCCGTAAGCTAGCTGAATAGCTTCCTCACATGAAAGAACCAAAAGTTATTGGCGAAATTTTAACCTACAGCGGTGAGCGGCAAATGGTTTGAAGTCAACGACCGCAACCACGACGCCCCTACCTTTTTACTAATAAACAAGTATATAGTTTCAAAAAGGAAATGTTTTTTCGTATGCTATGTAGATAATGCCTTACGTAATAGTTATAAAAAGTTTATTTGACAACCTGTGAATAAAATCCGTTAAGAGCTGTTTCTTGTCTCTTTGAATGCTACCACTGATCACCTTTGTTCTAAACGCAGGCAGCAATTTTCCACAAACCTCCCCTTGCTGAAATGCCAACGCCTCATTCTCTACCACAAATGCAACTTTACCAATTTCTCCCTGTCTTCTTTGGCAACGCAAATGAACCTGATGATTTTTTAATAAAAATAAGCTTAATATTCTAAATTCCTGTTGTTTTTATCGTACCTTAAGTTAACTACACTGCGTCCATTTAATATTGCCTTTATTTTCATAGTTTACACTGTAACTAAGTGCGGAATACCGTTAGGGCCATCGTGGTTATACTTTATAATCCAGAGGGCGACAATGCGGTAGTGCGGTGACGACAAGACGACAGTGCGATGACGACAATGCGATAGTGCGATGACGACCGTACGATTATGTAACAGTGCGATGGCGATAATGCGATGGCGACAGTGCGATAATGCAATGGCGACGATACGATAGTGTGATAGAACTATCGCGTTGTCGCCATCGCACTATTGCATTGTCGTCATCGCACTGTCGTACTGTCGTCATCGCACTTTCGCCCTCTGGATTATTATGTATAACCACGATGGCCCTAACGGTATTCTGTAAATAAGTTTTATTGTCATATAACAGCTACAAGCATTATTAACACACAAAGGAGTAAAAACTTCACTTGTCTTAGTACAAGCTAATATCAAGGGATTAAAATACAAGTGTCATCCAATTCTATGTTAAAATGAGTGTTTCCTTATAACATTCTTTTTATCATTTTGGATTGCCAGTTTAAGTAAATCATTGTTTTATACATACTTGCATGATGCTACATGCAACTCTTGTTTTGCCACTATTAGTAGGCGCCAAAACTATAACATTTTCTCCTCGAGAACCCTTTTCAGCTAATTCTTTTTGAAATTCCCATAGCTCAATGTCTTCGTCTTCACCATCAACCTCGTCAGCATCTGCATTTTAATTAAGATTTTTTTAGGAATTGTAAAACAATCTGTCATTCTCATTTTCAACTGCAAGCATAGAAGAATAGTACTTATAAAAGACAATAAATAGTAAAGTTGATTAATATGCATATAGACACTTAACACGTTGCTAAAATGTTCATTATAAGGTCACACAAAGAATGCGCATTCACCATGAATGTAAAGGATTAGCGGGGTATGATAATTCAGTGTACACAAATATTGTGATATTTTGTGTATGGACAATACCTCTTCTGCATTCTGGACCCCCCCCCCCCCCCCCCCCCCCCCCAAAAAAAAAAAAAAAAAATAAATAAATAAAAAAATCTCAGAATCTAGCTTTGGCTCGTCAATATATTTTGACTAACCTGTTGGTATGTTTAATTCCATCACAGGTTCAATGTGTTCCTGGTTTCCTCCAGCATTAAGGTCATTCTGAACTTCGTTCAATGCACTGTCAGCAATCTTATCTAACATTAGTAAAACTCGGCATATCATATAAAATGAGCCGCGCCATGACAAAACCAACATAATGGGTTTGCGACCAGCATGGATCCAGACCAGCCTGCGCATCCGCGCAGTCTGATCAGGAGCTATGCTGTTCGCTGACAAACCGTATAACAAGTAGAGAAACTGATAGCGAACAGCCACAGGCACGAGTATCGGACCTGGGAAGAAAAAATATGACCAGATTGATAAAAAAAACCTGTGTTCATCTTAAAAGTGTCAAAAAAACAACAACAAAAAAGTAAATACTGACCCCCTTTAAAAATATAATATAAGTTAAGAGTAACGTATATTAACGTATATTATATTTTCAAAGGGGGTCATTATTTACATTTTTTTTGGACACTTTTAAGATGAACACAGGTTTTTTTTATCAATCTGGTCATATTTTTTCTTCCCAGGTCCGGTACTCGTGCCTGTGCGAACAGCATGGATCCTGATCAGACTGCGCGGATGCGCAGGCTGGTCTGGATCCATGCTGGTCGCAAAGCCATTATGTTGGTTTTGTCATAGCACGGCCAATATGTTATTCTAATACAACAATATAAATATAAGAAAGCTTATTGGTTAATGAGTCATGTTCCATTAATAAATATTTTAAGCATTTTTAGAGCCTTAATTTAGACCAAAATAAAAATCACAATAAACTGGAACTTAATTTTCTTTTTTTTCCTTGTTATTGTTTTGTTTTTTTAAACTTCGTAATTTACTTTTAGATATATAAATGCATTTTTTAGAAAAAGCTTTAAAAGACAATGTAAGTGTGATAAAGCCTTTGGTATGTTTTACCTTCAACGTTTGATTCAATGTGGTCATCAACACTAGCTGTATTGTTTTTTATTTTATTCATCTGTGTTCCAATACTTTTGGTCTCATCCTTTTGAACAACGCTTACATTTTCTTCAAGTAGGAAATCAAAGTCTAGTAATCCGACTTCTCCGCTAGATTCTGCGTCATTTGTGGTTTCGGCCGATGGATTATCAATGATGTCGGACATATTCTGCTTCTCGATGTCGTCGTAAGTTGGTAGATACGATTTTTCAGTAGCTAAATACAACAACCCAAATTTAAGCCGGATTAATTTCTTATTTACAAAAACAACTTAAGATTGCAAATAGGCTCAAATCTTCAATATCAACTGCATTAACCAAATAAAATAATTATATAGTTTATATAAACGTCAGGATCTATACCAATGAAATTTGACGTACAGACGTTCAGTATACAAGTGATCAAGATATTGATAATCTTATCCCGGGTTCGATTCCCGGACAGTGCAGGTTACTTTCGTTATGAAATCCTGTCCTTCGCACTGTACCTCTGCTCTGGCATAAACAGATAGTAATCAGTTCCTTGCGAAAGTGAAGGCAACTAGCACTGGTTAACTGCTTCACAGCCTGATCTGCTCTGGGACGATGCGGTGGCTGAACTGTGTTCTGGTAAATTCGATGTGGCTAACTGCAGTGAGTGGTAGTGAGGGTAAACTAACAACACCATCACATAATTTTATATCAATGTTTTGTTTCCGGTTAACGAGTAAACAACAAAAAGACCTTTATAAACAGAGTGGCAAAACCCTAAGAAAGAAAAATAATCGATTATAGTTTGATATTGAAAAAAGTCACTCAATTTAGAAGCTGAACTTCCGAAACAATGATTTAGCAAAGATGTGAAAATACAAACTAAAATTTTAAGAATCTGCCATATTCAACCGAATAGACATGAACCACTTACCATAACGTCTGGGTAAATTGAGTGGTACAAGAATGTCAGGAAAGTTTTCAATTTCAGATGGATAGTTATCTGCTAGAGGTGAATTCTTTAGTGCCAACAGAAATACACTGTCATATTGTATGGTTTCACCTGAAAAATACAAAACAACAACAATGTCAACAGTTGTTTTTGCATAGTCTCCCATTACATATTTTTGCAACACATAAAAACATGCCATATGAAAATAATATTTCCAGTGACATAAATTCATTATTGATGTTAAATAATTATTGCTAATTCACAACTTTTAAAATGTCATATTTTTGCCGAGTGTATAAGTAATTAGAAACCATTTAAAGTAATTAATATTTTGCTAAATTTAACCAGAAATCATTAATGTAAATATTAACATATATTTAAGTCTCTAACACTTTTATTTTATTTTAGTCTACCTTTTTCGGGTACAGTTTTTTCATGTTGCATTTCAGTATTTGAAGTTAAATCCGACATTTCTTCATTATATAACTTTATAGTAGGAACTTCACCATGTGTCGGTTGGCTGTATGTTGGAATATTGTTAATCTTCAAACTATCCTGCTGATTTATGAAGGAAGCTATGTTTAACTTGTTGTCTGTACATGTTTTTACAGCAGACGTTATACCTTCCTTCTCACTCGCTTCAAAATCGCCTTTTTCCATTGTTGTCAAGTCTTCGCCTGACGAAAAAATATTTTAATAGCGAACAAGTAATATTGCAATAATTATACAAAATAATTATTGGTACCGAGCTTGTTGTAAAGGGACGCAAATCATACAGCTTCAGTGTTCTAGATTAACCTGGATTGTCTCCGTTGACTGTTAACGACGCAGTTTTCTTCTATAATTTTACTTTCGATTTGGAATAGTTATATATGTATGTAATTTATTGTAAATAATAATAATAATAAAAATAATAATAATAATAATTATGGCATTTATAAAAAAGTATTTATGATTATAAGACTAAGAAGGAATTGCTAACATTTAATGTAAATAAATCATGATAATCTGCGAAATGAAAGTTGCATTACCAAATCTTTGTTAAAATCACTGATACCCTGATCCCGTCAAGATAACCGAATATAATAATATGAGGTTAAAGTAACTAACATATTTTTAGTATAGAAAACTTTGCCGTATACACAATTCAATAGACTGGTTAAACCAATATGAAGAAAACTAATCCAACAAAAAACATAATATAATTACATTTGTAATCATTTGTAAAATTTCCTATCGCATGTTAAAACGCCAAAGATTGAACCGTATATGAAAAACTACCTACCTTATCCATTTAGATCTATGTATAACTTTTTTTCCGAAAAATATTCCGTCTTTACTTTGCCATTTAGATCTAAATAGGAAATGAAATAAGTAGCTAGAAATAAACTATACGAGTACAATTTATCCAATTGATAGTGTTTAAAATCGATAAGGTGATATAAGCTATCATTTACAATTACCTAATCAACCAATTTACATAAGGGTAAGTTATTGTATACGCCGTATTTACAATATGGGTATTTCCAAATGATTTACTTTCGTTTCCAATTTCAGAAAATGATTATACTGCTATCGTGAATGGTCCACGTCTGCGAAAGTAAGAAAAATCAAACAAGAAGGCCATACTGACCCTACTATCGCTCACCTGAATATAAATAGTCTTAATGACAAGGAAAAGTAATATCGGTAAAGCGAAAGCAGATACAAAATCTAAATCTGTATCTGATATAGTGCATAGTTTCAAGTTGACATCAGTATATAATTGTAAATATTGGCTATACGCACCTGCTTAATAAAAGTTGTTAATGTTAATTTTGTTGTTGTTGTTGTTGTTGCTGCATGAATGAAAAAACGTTACTGGTTACTTTGGCTAAGAAAAACAATACTTACTAAAGAAGTCACTGGTTGCTATACAAAATCAGTGGTTTGCTTGGAAGTCACTGAATGCTATGAAATTCAATAGTAGATTCACTTGTTGCTAAGAAAAGTAAATGTCTGCTATGGAAGTCACTGGTTGCTATGTACAAGAAGTCAATGTTTGCAATGTAAGTCACTGGTTGCTATGGAAATTTACAGTTTGCTATGTGAAGAAAATGGCTGCTATGAAGTTACTGGTTGCTATAAAAGTTAATGGTTGTTATGGAAAACAAGCAGTTGTTATGGAAAAAAATGTTCTTATGGAAAGTCAATGGTTGCTATGGCAGTCACTTATTGCTTTTTAAAGTCACTGTTTGCTATGGAAGTCAATGGTTATTGTAGAAAGTCACCGGTTGCTATGGAAGTTCAAGGTTGTTATGGAAATTTAGTGGTTGCTATGGAAGTCGGTGGTTGCAATTAAAGTCAAAATAGTTGCTATGGCAAGTCACTACATGGTCTTTATGGAAAGTCACTGGGAAGTTTTTAGTTGCAGTTGAAAGTTAATGGTTACTATGTGAGTCACTGCTTGCTTTGGGAAGCAGTTGGTTGCCATGGAAGACTATGGTTGCTATGGAAAATCACTGGTCGCTATGGAAGTAAATGGTAGCTATGGAAAGTCACTTGTTCTATGGAAAGTCAATTGTATGGAAGTCAATGGTTGCTATGATACTCAGTGGTTGCTAATGGACATCACTTGTTTCCATGGAAGTCAATGGTCGCTAAGGAAAGTCACTGGTTGCTATGGAAAGTAAGTGATTGCTATGGAAGTCAATGGTTGCTATGAAAAGTCAATGGTTGCAATATTGATAACTGGTTGAGCACTATGAGAGGTCAATGGTTTTCATGGAAAATCGCTGGTTGCTTTGGGAAGTTAATTGTTGCTGGTTGCTATAGAAAGTCAACGGCTGCAATGGAAATTAATGGTTACCATGGAATGTCACTGGTTGCTTTGAAAGTCATTGGTTGCTTAGGAAGTCACTGGTTGCCATGGAAAGTCTATGGCTTCTATGGAAAAGTACTGGTTCCTATGTATAGTCACTGGTTACAAAAGAGATCTATTGTTGCCATGGAAAGTCAATGGCTCCTATATTGGTCACTGCTTGGTCACTGCTTGCTATGGAAAGTCACTAGTTGCTATGTGAGTCACTGGTTGCTATGAGAAGTCACTGGTTGCTATGAAAGTCAGTGGTTGCTGTGGAAGTTGATGATTGCTATTGAAAGTCAATGGTTGCTTAACAAGTCGGTGGTTGCTATGGAAAGTCGCTGGTTGTTAAGGAAAGTCAATGGTTGCTAATTAAGCAAGTAAATGCTTGCTATGGAAATTCAATGGTTGCTATGGAAAGGCACTGGTTGCTATTGAGAGTCACTGGTTGCTATTGAGAGTCACTGGCTGCTAAAGACGTCTTTGGTTGCCATGGAACGTCAATGGCTCTGATTTAATCACTGATTGATATAGAAAGTCACTGGTTAATGTCAGAAATCACTGGTTTTGTGAAATGGAAATCGCTAGTTGCTATGATTAGTCACTGGTTGGTATGGGAAGTCACTGGTTGCTATGGAAAGTCACTGGTTGCTTTGGGAGTCACTGATTGCTAAAAAGAAAATAAATGACTCCCTTGGGCGGGCCGATTTTGACCCCAGGACTTTTATTTGAACAAACTTGGTCGACAACCACTAAAAGATGTTTCATGCTAAATATCTAAGCTCTAGCTCTTTGGATTTTTAAAGAAGAGTTTTTTTCTTTCGGTTGCTATAGCAACCGCATGGAATACAATTCTTTGAATAATTTTGAAAGGTGACCACCCAAAAAATTTTCCTGTGAAATTTGTATGAAATTGGCTTAGTGGTTTATGAGGCGATGTCGTTTAAAATAAAAGTTTACGGACGGGCGGACGACGGACTGGAGGACGCGGGACGAATTGCTATCACAAAGGCTAACCTTGTCACTTTGTGACAGATGGATGTACTAAAAATCCTTGCTGTTTCAAAATTCTTAAAACTATGTCATTTGAGTATACAAAAAAGTGTGGGTCACATCGGAAATATTCACTAGCTGGGTGAAAAGGTTTGACCGTCGTATTTCGGCATATTGGACCAAAGAGTTATAAAAATCTCAAAGATAAAGCGAGTTATTCAACGACAGTTTTGGGCAATTGAAACAGACGGGGAAAGAAACATCTCGGTGTTAGATGCTTTGTACATGCTCAAAACTGCCTGTTAAGCTGTCAGTCCTCAGACCTTTGCTGCCCCAGGCATGCCGGGTTCCAGCACTCTTCCATGTCTGATAATGTTTTTAATCTATATCAATGACCTACCTTTGTCTATGGAAAAAACAGAAACTGATATTTTTGCTGATGACACCACCCTTTCAACCTCTGATGTATCCCTTAACAGAGTTGTTGAATCTCTTACTCATGATCTTTTAAATGCCAACAAATGGTGTGATTTGAATTGCATGTCTATCAATGTTAACAAAACTAAGGTCATGTATATTTCCTCAAAACACAAGCAAAATTATATTCATGAAAGTAATCCTTTTATTTTATATAAAACAGAGCAAATTTATTGTAGCTCTGAAGAAAAATTATTAGGTATTAAAATTAATAACACCTTGTCTTGGCAAAGCCATATTGATAATGTTCTTAAAAAAATGTAACTCATTGTTACATTTATTATCACGTATAAAATTATTCATATCTATACCTGTACGTAAAAATGTTTTACAATGCATATATTTTACCACATCTTGATTATTGTTGGATAATAACGGTAACTGTACGTCTTTTCTAGAAGATAAACTCATTAAGTTCCAAAAGAGAGCTGCAAGACTAATTCTAGACAAAGATTATGACACTACATCTGCTGAACTTTTTTCTGAACTCCGCTGGATGACCTTTTCACAGAGGGTTGTTTTTTAAAAAGCTATTATGATGTTTAAAATAATGAATAATCAGGCGCCTTCCTATTTATTGAATAATTTCATTTTATCTTCAGATGTTCATACTCGCATTTTGCGTTCATCATCTGATTTTCAACTCTATACCCCTAGACCAAATACTGAACAATTTCGTAAGTGTTTTGTTTATTCTGGATCTTGTATTTGGAACGGCCTTCCTGATTATATTAAGTCTGCTACATCTGTTAACCATTTTAAAACCTTATACTTGAGGTATTATCACACATTCATGTATACAAATTGATAATCTCCTGTATGTATTTACATTTATGTATTTTAATAGTTTGATTATGTTACATTTATATTGTTCCTTGTTGAGAGCCTCATGGAAGATTGATATGTTTGTTCAAATGAGTTCTCTCGTTAAAAAATTCTTTATTATTATTATTATTATTATCAAATGACTGAGGTCGACCCTGAAGATAGATTACTTTTGTTTACTCTGAGGCATCTGACCACTTGTGTATCGTTGAAGCAATACACATCGGGTGTTGACAGCGTTCCAGCGTTCCAGTATGCGCTGATCTTGCTGACGAGGAAATAATAACTTTGTTTCACGTCAGTCTCGCGATGCAACACTGCCTGATGATAACGAATTAGGGTGATGTGCTGTCTACAAGACCGGAAGTGACCATTTTCGACGCCATGGACGGATTAGAAGTGGCTAGGGACTTCCTTCACTATCAAAAAATCGGGAGTTTTGCGGCGACAGAAAGGTCCATCACAAAATTAAGAATTATTAGTTCTATGTGCAGCAAATATTATCTTAGTGAAGCTTTACTGTACTTTATGAGATAAAACTCATGTAGATTTTGAGAGTGCTATAACATGTATATTTAAAACAAACTGGAGTTGATCTGATGCAGATAAAAACAGCAACAGCAATATTTTTAATTCTATATTTAGATTATTATTTCTTTAATTAAAACACCAGAAAATGACGCAAATCTGTAGTTTTCATCAGAGCGAATTGAAATATCATTACGAAAGTAATTGACAACCCAGACTGCTTGACCTTTGTTGACCTGTAACATACAATTACAAGTCCTAATTTATTGCTCATCTATATGTACATGTATGTTATATATTGAAAGCAGTATATATTATGAGGCTATCAAAACAGTTATTACGCTTATAAGACAGCTATTAAGATTTTTTTTCAATTGTAAAAAATAACTTAATTCCAAGAAAATAAACAAATAAAGTAAGATCTGTTAATAGATGCAGTTCACTTGTTAAACACTTAATTAATGAAACTTTTTTTATTTTTATGAATGTTTTCCTCACAGTTAATTCGTCATCTAAACTTCTTTTATTTATTGCATTTGTATATATATTTGACTTTGTTACATATGGCTTACACATATCTAGGAAATTGTTAATATATGATAGGACTTTAAATTTACTTAAACTTAGCTTCTTCCAATGAAGAAATCACTAACAGGTGAAAGTTAAAACGAATTAAATAATGACTAGATAAGACCTGTATAGCTGCAGAGTTTACTCCTTGTTGATCATGACCAGGTGCTACGGGATTAGTTATTGCATCAACAACGTTCTGACCGTCTACAACCAACTTAGCTACCATTTCAGCCTCGGAATATTCAGATATAACAAATGTAAATAGATAAATTCCGGAAACTGGTGCCGTGAAAACATGGGTATTTTGGTTGAATCCTCCACCAATATTGGACGCTACTCGGTTATAAGGTATTGCCTGGTTGATACCAATATGTGCTGCATTTGCGTCAATATATGCCGTGAATGCCACTGGCTGCTCTATATCACGTTTATCTGAAAAATAGTTTTAAAGATCCTGTATGTTGTGATCAAAGTGGTAAACCACACAAATTATATATACGTACATAATTATGCAAATAAAACAATTTTCAAACATCGAAGAATATGTAAAATACATGTATGTACTGCAAATATTTGTGCATATTATATGTAATCATTAAAACATATGCATTCAATTCTTATTGTAAAATTTGACTTAAATTTTATAGAAAATAATTTTTTATTACCTTCCTTTATTTACTTGAAATGTTAAATTAGGTAATATCTTTATAAATAATGCTTTGCTTTTTGGAACCTACAATATTGATAAATCTTAATTTGAGCATAATATTTATGGTTTAAAACCATAAAAAATTGTGTTACAGGATCTTTAAACTAGTCGTTTAGTCATACACTGTCTGCCATCAGCCATTAGGGATTTTAATCCTCTTCCATATGAAAGCCGTAATGTATAAATGAACGTGCAACATATTTTCGTATTTTCAAAATAATAAATGGATTTAAATTTTACAACGAAGCCTTTGAAACACATCTGCTGATGTTTCTAATTTTTATTTCACCATTATCATGATTAAATGTTGAATTCTGCTTAAGCCAGTCGGTAACTTGCATTTTCCATTACCGTCCATGAACAGGCTTAATCAAACCGAGCCTGCATTTGTCTTGTTGGTCTTTCTTTAGGGATTCTTTATTTCTCTCTATTTGAATATGTACCCTTGATAATTTATGATATTACTAGGAAAAAACAAAATTTATTCCACAAACTATGTGAAATTTACACAAATGGTTATGTCATTCCTGCGATGGTCATAAACGAAAGAAAAACTATATGATATAACGTCCTGAGTATTGCATTAGTCATGTTCATGTGCAGCGTCGCAGGTCTTAAATTTGGCTAAGTGTCTTGTACTATTTAACAGATACACATTAGTCAAATGTTACATGCAGATACACAGCGCCTGTTTATTGAGTTTTACAAAGGAATAATCGCTTGAAAATCGCGAAATACGCTGGATAAGAGTCGTTTTTGGAAAGTGATATCGCTTTCATATGCCGTCGTTCACAGTTGCATATGCATGACCAACAACTACAATATTGCATGTTTACGAGTCAAAATATAGTTGGATGCTGTTTAAGTAAATCAGTATAAAAAACTTCAAAAATATTTTGAAAGTTTTCTTAAATGATGTTACTGAGAAATAATAAATCTATGGAAAATACTTGTACATTTGTTATAATTGTTTTAAGTGCATAAATTTATGGTGGCTGATTTGGAACGTGCCAAACGGTGCGTTCTTATCGTCCTGTCGCTATAAAGATGCACGCCAAACGGCGCGTTGTCGTGCGGCGTGTTGTCGCGATGTCACATTGTCGCTCGACTCAAATCGAAGGATTGGCTTATAGTCAAGCGACAGGGCGACATCGCGACAACGCGTCGTTTGGCGTGCTTCGCTAGAGACAAGGCGACAAGGCGACAGTGCAACAACGCGCAGTTTACAACAAGACGAAAAGGCGACAACGATATAGGACAACGCAACGCGCAAAGTGTACCAAATCAGCCACCTTATGAAATTATCCGTCTGTCGATAATATAAACAGTGTGTTGCAGGTAACTCCCCTGATCAGGAGAGTAGCGTGACATTACAAACTACCAATACCAAAAAGATGGACTGGTAACTTTTCTTCTTCAGTCTTTGATTTTCCAATTGGAGTTTGTCGCAGCTTAATTTAAGCCTTCTTTATCACCAAATGTTGATAATAAATAATATATATGTAGTATATATATGTTTCCAGGAATTGGGCATAGCGCTGTTAAAGACATGTATTTGATTTAATTATCCTATACAAGTTAAACAAAAATTAGGTAAATAATACAAATATGTTTGTATCAAAGCATAATTACACTTACATGAATAGAACTTTTGATGGGGCGTTACAGCATAAGATATCTACACTTCCTTTTTCATTATACTAATGCAGAGATGCACACTACACCAACAGAATTAACATGTAGTTCATTCATTTTCGTACAAATTGGTGTTAAAATATGATACTCAAAAAACAAGCCCAAAAACTATTTATGTCTAGCACGTGCCTGTCGCATTCAGTGCTTTCGGTACTTTGATTAATGTCAGAGTAGTTAAAACGTGTTTTCAGAAAACTCTACACTAACATATATTTGAAGCACCAACTTAAAACATTAACAATGAAACTTTTGGTAGTCATGCAGATTATAAACAAGGCTTCCTTCTATTCAATGAACTCCTCTAGAGAAATAAAACTTAAGGAAAGAATGGTGCCTAATCAAATCACAGTTCACCATGTGTAACGTAGATATTTGTACAATATTTATTAAAGAAACATGTATATCCTCGAATGCCGAGACATAATTTAGCAAATTATTTAATACAAATAACGATTGAAATTAAATTACTGCAGGTTCTGCATGACATACTAGTATCCCAGATACTATTGATTATCACATACAAAGATGAAAATAACACATACAAAGATGAAAATAACAAAGATAAATTTCAAAATACATTATGCCCATTCAAGTGCAAATGCTCAGTTAACTGGTAAAAAATAGACATAACTTGACATTTTGCCATAATTGTGTTCAATTTTATTTTTTTACGATGAAAAATCAAACAATGATCCATGTTTCTATAAAATGTCGTTCGGTAACGCTCTATTTAAAAAAAAATATACTGAGGTAGTCTTTTTATGATTTATACAGTTTTTTATATTGATTCAACACATTTTTCATTATCAGTTATTGGTCAGTCACTATTATAATATAATTGCCAATCTTAAAAAATATATTACTAATTCAACTTAACTTGATAGCGATAAAGTCAGCAAAATGTCACTTTTTCTGCTACAAACGGCTTTCCTCAATTCAATAATATGCGTTAACGACAGATGAATCTTAATAACACAAATTTACCTTGATGGTGTTCAAGATTTTTAACAACATTTGTTAATTTGGCGACTTGTTTTTCCAAATAGTCCAGTCTCTCTTTACATTCTGATGAAGTGTTGCTTACGTCGTTATATGCAAGTGTTTTGTTAATAGCTATGAAAAACAAAGCTAGGAAAAATCGTCGACTGTACAACTCCATGGTCCTTTTTGTATTATTATGTCGTTCCAAATCTAGCATGTTTTCAGCGTTGATAAGAAATTTTAGGCCACCTTATCAACTAGCCTGAAAACTTTCCATTTCACATGTTTTCGTAAATTACCAAAAGATTCTTTGTTCTGCAGTGTCCACATGATTGTTTTAATGAGAAAACCCTTTAGAACAGTATTCCTCTAACTTTGTTTATTACTTATTTGGGTAATTAAGACAAACGGTAAAGGGTGTCACAAAGGGGGACATAATACTAATCAAATCATTAGACTAAACTATGAACAAAATGATCTAAAAGTGTATCAGGAATCGTATTATTGTTTGTGGTCACTCTGAATTGAACCACAAGTTAGTAAAGGTATTCTTAAAATAATTTGTAATAACAGAAGTATAGGTATATTTACACAGAGATAGCATTACGCCTTGTACTATAGGTTTCAAAGAATTTATTCCAGAAAGTTTGAAATTAGTGTTGAATGAAATGAAAACCTATTGCTTAAGTCTGAAATAAGTAGTTACTAGGTTACATGTACAGTATTCGTAACTTCTTTTGGCTCACACGTTTGTTTTTCTCCGAGTTTCAACAGAATGATTCTGGCAGAACATGATGAAATATAATAAATGTCACTTAAACTATATATTCAAGCCTCCCGTTTGATCTTGTAGTTGGAAAACAATTTATTCAAATTAAATCACTTACAATTAAATCATGACTTATCGGTGATTTCCCTACAGCAAAGATATTGACAAAGTTTGATCCTACAAAACTGACCTCTAGAGTGTTAACAAACTTTCCGTCTATGCAACAAAACCACCATTGTATATTATTTGCTAAGACAAAAGAATCATACATTGGACATATAGAGGGTCCCTAACACAAATGAAATAGGAATTTTTTGATATGGGAATATGCTGGAAATTAAGATGTACCTAAAACTTAAACTAAGGTTTAGGATAGTCCCATTATTCTTTGAAGTTTAGCTAAAAATCAAGTCTGTTCAACTACAATATCTTATACAAGTATCTTCCCATAGGTGTACACAAACGAATATCTTCCTTATCTTTGGTTTTAAGTTATTGCGACATGGTTAGGTTAATGTGTAGATGACTTTCCTGCTTTACTCTATTTCTCCTCCATACATCGTTAAAGGGTCAAAGAGTTACTAAAGTTGTGACAAGGTGCAAGAGACTCATTTTATAAGCAACAACCTGTCCACGGAGATATTTACAATTAGTAATATTCTCTGTTAAATAAGCTAAACAGTGAAATTCTCTAATGATACTTAGTAGTTGCGACATATTTTTTTTTTGGGGGGGGGGGGTGGGGCTGGGGAGGAGGGCAGGGCGGGGCTAGGGAGGGGCAGGGGGTTTGAGCACAAGAATTTTAAATGTTTCACTAAAATGCCTGATAATCTATCACATTTATCAGTTATGATATACTTGTTCTTGTGTTACAGGTAATTGGGATAATTATACTTAAATAATATTGACATCTTCATCAAATACTGCACAGAAATATAAGTTATCTAATCAATACAAAAGTTTTTTTTACATACACCATCAAATGGAAAGAATGCAAGGCTATATAATACAATTCTTAAGAATTAAACAAATTGCAATATTTCAAAGGCATATTGTGCCTCAGAAATTAATATGTTTGCCTTCTATAGGAGCAATCATCAGTTTCATCATGTGAAAAATGGTTATAAAGTATATTTGATGTTAACCTAATGAAGAAAGGGGCACTGAATGCGAAATTATTTATCATAGAAGTAAAATGTAAACAAAGCAGTATTTTGACTTCCACATCAAATCACTATAACAGTAATAATTTCCAAAAGCTAAAGAACCAAAGGATGAGTTCAGTAATTGGCAAATGAGTAACTTTAGGAACCAATAACAGGACACTTAAATTAATAACCTTTTCAGAAATGAAAATATAAGCATTTTTTTATTATAATGGGACTTTAAAGAAAGGGCAAATTCTTAAAAATTCTACAGTCATACATATTTTACAGTAGAATTTTTCTAATGAACAACAGCTTTTTCCATTTTATATTACATAATTAGTCAGTAAATTAAAAAGGACCCCTTTTTATTTTTCATGTACGATTTTTGAGTATGTTTTTAGACCATAATTTTGTTATTTCATGGACAATACAATATTTCCCCTCATCAGTATGTGTTTTTTTTTTTAAATAATGAAAAGATTTCTACTGAGATCAGGAAAGTTAAGAAAAACTTTACTTCTTGTTTACATAGTGATATACAGGACATATCAGACTTTATAATTCTTAAAATTTATTTACATTATTAGGATGCCAGTTTAATACAACAATTCTGAAGCCTCACAAATCTGTCTCTATGATCTAATGTTATAATCAACTTATTCAGAAAAAAAAATCCATATATATATATATCCAACCAAGCACCTTGTACAATAAAAAATTCATTAAGTAAAGGGATTTCCAGATACATTGTTAATAAAATATCACCAATACTAATTTACACTTATTCAATTACAACACTGCAAGTTGTAACATCGATATTCATAGGACAGTTGTGATCTTTATATTATCTATATCAAATCAACTTTATGAATTATTTTCTGATTAAATCAAACAAAACAAAATCCCACATTTTTATGAATTTGGAAGGTTGACTGTTATATGACCCTGTAGGAATGGTTGATTGTTATATAAAACTGGAAAAAGTGATCCCTTGGAAGCATTAAAAACAGCAAAATTACATAAATATTGCAGATTCCATTTGATTGAGCCTGTACTTCAGGAATAATGAAACAAGAGGGCCATGATGGCCCTGAAGTCGCTCACCTGTATATAGGCCCCCGGAGCGGGGCCAGTTTAAACCCAAGGGCTTTTATTTGAACAAACTTGGCAGACACCCATTAGAAGATGTTTCATGCTAAACATCTAAGCTCTAGCTCATTGGGTTTTTTAAAAGAAGATTTTTTAAGTTTTTACTATACACATATAGTTAAAATCAATGACATCCCTGGGGCAGGCCAGTTTTGACCCCAAGGCTTTTATTTGAACAAACTTTGTAGACACTTACTAGAAGATGTTTCATGCTTAATATCTAAACTCTAGCTATTTGCGTTTTTTCAAAGAAGACTTTTAAGTTTTTGCTATACACATATAAGGAAAATCAAAGACACCTGGGACGGGGCCAATTTTGACCCCAGGGCTTTTATTTGAACAAACTTGGTAGACACTCATTAGAAGTGTTTCATGCTAAATATCTTAGCTCTAGCTCTATGGGTTCTTTAAAAGAAGATTTTTTAAGTTTTTACTATATGCATACAGGGAAAATCAATGACCCCCTGGGGCTGGGCCAATTTTGACCCCAGGGCTTTTATTTGAAAAAACTTGGTAGACACTTATTGGAAGATGTTTCATGCCAAATATCTAAGCTCTAGCTCTTAGGGTTTTTTAAAAGAAGATATTTAAAGTTTTTTCTTTTGGTTGCCATGGCAACCAGAGTTCTGCATGGAATTAAATTCTTTGAACAATTTTTAAAGGTGACCACCAAAGGAACATTCCTGTGAAGTTTGGATGAAATTGGCTTAGTGGTTTATGAGGAGATGTCATTTAAAGTAAAAGTTTACGGACGGACGACGGACGAAACGCGATCACAAAAGCTCACCCTGTCACTTTGTGACAGGTGAGCTAACAAATGCAACATCCCTCATGCACCCTAGCACCAGCTTGAGCCGTACTCAATTTTCAACACTAAATAGTGCTTGACTCAATGGTCCCAAAGAACAAGAAAAATATACCAACACTGCAGTGAAGTACATGGCAACTTTTTACGGCTGCCACACAGCACTTAACACCTGCTGTTGTAAAGTATAAATATCTGGAAAAAAAGTGACAAGAGGGCCAAAATGGCCCTAGACTGCTCACCTGACCCATCAAACTCATCCGAGCAATTACCAAGACAAGCATCCTGACCAAGTTTCATGACAATTGAGTCAAAAATGTGACCACTAGAGTGTTAACAAGTTATTTTTCCATCTTTGGGCGGTGTGACCTAGCTTTTGACCCCAGGTGATCCATATTCAAACTTGACCTAGAAATTCCAGACCAATTTCCTGGATCAAAATAGGAGCCAGAAGAGTGTTAACAAGATTTTTTCTATTTTTAGCTCCTGTGACCTAGGTTTTCATCCGAGTGACCCATGTTCAAACTCATCCAAGCAATTACCTAGACAAGCATCCTGACAAAGTTTGATGATGATTGTGACAAAAATGTGACCACTAGAATGTTAAAACAAACAAATGTGGATGGACAACAGACATTCAATAATCCTAAAAGCTCACGCTGAGCTAGGTCAGGTGAGCTTAAAAGTTAAATAAGTTTTTAACTGTTTATACTCTGCTATACAACTATACTGTACATATGCATCATTTAATAATGTGTTTACACGCCTGTGAGAAGTATCATTCAAAAGTAATAACTATTATTTGTCAACAATTTTATTTTCATGTGAAACAATATGCCATCTTTTATACATTTTCATATGTACATGTTTAAGTATTATATACAAGCAAATCAATTGAATACTAGTGATATAATATTAAAAAGCAAGATGACAAGACATTTACACAATATAAAAAATATCACATTATCAGAGGTACCATCCTATCTCAACAATGTCTTTTAAATTTACTATTCATTTTTCTGAGACATTTTTTGTTTTCAACACAGCAGAATGATATTACTGAATACTTTCTCAACAAAAAAAAACCACATGACAATCACAGATCAGTATCATCTCTCAACATGGCTTGAAGATTTGTCATCATCATCATCCTAAAAAATAAAACAGAAGTTATTAATTATGATAGAGTTTCTATTTCTTACAATATTTCAGTCCACATATCATACTTATATGTCACTTTAAACTCAGTGTTCCTGTGCTGTCTGATCATGGCTTGCACTGTTTGCTATTCAGTAGGAAGGTATTTTGAAGATTTTTCCTAAAAATAATAGCTTTATG